ACTTTGAGACATGCAACGTATACGGGGTGGAGAACAGCAGTGCAGCATGATGGAAAAATACCGTACGAGAGCAACAGCAATATTTAGCAAACGGGTTGCTGCTGTCTGTCCCTTATGTACAAACCTGTTCCATGAAGGCCGATTGCCCAGTGACGGGATCTTCGTAGAGCATGGATTCCTCCGCCTTGCCAAACATGAGCATGAATAGCTGCTTGGCCCAGACGATGCAATGAACGGGCTTCGAAGGAGTGCTGCAGTGTCAAATGGTACAAAGAAACAGAGAATAAGCCTTTCTTGAGGGGGGGGGGGGGGGGAAGGCCAGTCATATCCAGAGCATGAACACAACCGCGTCAACAAAAAATATATATATAAAGAAATATATATTACAGCAGTCGTTGAGAGGTACAAAGGCAAAGGAGGAGCATCGGGATAGAAACAAAGGAGGCGACCATGCCCAGACGATGCAAAGGAGCAGGCCGCAAAAGGGTGGTATCTACTGCTGCTGTGGTTTGATGCCATGGACAACACTAACCACATGATAAAAAAACAAGAGAACGATTCACGTCCGAAGGCATGCTTGCTATCATCACACACTGCTGTCCAAAAGATGCACGGCAGCTCTTGCGAATAGTTGTCAAATGCTTGTGGCAATCCATCATCAGGTTCGACTGCCGGGGGGGAGGGCTGCCTTGCATGACAAACCATCGTTCCCAAGCGGAAAATTGTTCCGCGCACAAAACACCGAACGGAACTTGGAATTGTGCAGAGAACGGGCGGAGCAGCATTGCTCACCAACAAGCAAGACAGGTTCAACCAACCCCCTCAGCCTCGCCATCCCACAATATCACCACAATATCACTACAGTAGAGGTTCCTATTTAGTGTCGGTCGAACAGGGCCGGTGCCCGGTATTGTGCCGGTGTTTTCGGCGGGCACACACTCAATTTCCAAGTCAATTCTCAACACTTTGAATAATGCCGGAGAATTTTCCGGGCATACGCCGGCGCTAAGCAGGGACCGCTACGGTAGGAACCCTACACCGCCTTGTAAACATCTCAAGAGTCAGCAAAGAGTAACAGATCGACTGCACTCATGCCCCTCTCCTTTCTTATTGTTTGGTTGCTTTGGTGTTCGGTCCACCCTATGACCTCCCGAGTTTCCACACAACCTGAACCTCCATGCGTGTCGGCCTATCAGCCCCGCATCACATCTGGCTCATTTCCCCACCCCCCATCACGCGTGAAAGGCGGGAAGGGATATCATTAGGATAGACAAAACTAGGGAAGACATTTTTGAGCCACCTTTTTGGCAAAGTAGGAAGGAACGATTGGCCATCGGTGATCGGTCCTTTGGGAACAATGCTCCGTCCTCTCGAGGACGCGTGGTCAATGGTCTAACCGCTAAGGCATGCAAAACATAAGAGTACGCCCCCCCCCCCATCACGCATGTAGACATTCGCACCTGCGGATGGTGCAAATAGGGTGGACCTTGGGAGTCTGCTTCGGCTTGCACTCGTAGCACTCCGTCTCCCCCTTCTTGATCACCGTCACCTGAAAAAAAGCGGTCAAAGGAGGAATGTGTAACCATGGATTGGAGCTCCAATACGGCAGAAATGCTGCGTGTGTGAGAGCGCTGACGATAAGTCATGAACGAAAACAACACAAATCCGCCGGAGATTTTAGGAAAAATAAATACCAACACACACCGACTAACCATTCGAGATATAATCACACAGTAGTCGATGGGGATGTGTTGGAGTCTTTGCAGTGAATGGAGGGAAACCGGCTGGGTAGTGGGCTCATTTCGAGTTGGTCCATACACTGAAAAAAAAATTATCAGTGATCCCAGCAGGTGCCAATCACAAAAACACTGTATAGGTAGATTGAAAATTCTGCATGAAAAGGCTTGGTGTGTTGTTGGTGTCTTCGCCAGAATAAAAAAAAAAGCAGCAGGATGATGCGACAGCCCCAAGGAATCAAGAAATCCGTTTTTAGAAATTGGCCGATTTCGGCTGGTTCTTCGGGCGAAAATAAGAAATTGAGGATCGACCCGATTTCGACGTTTCTTATCTCCGCGCCCGTTCTGTATGCGTGTGTGTGCAGAAGACCGTGTGCGTGCGTGGGTACGTACACTGGTGCCTACCAATCAATACTTATGGCAACGGTCGGGGAGATGGCACCGGGGTGCGTGCATACAACACCTGTGTGCATTTCATCGGGGATCGCACCGGTCGGAGAGATCGCTTGGGGTGCAACACCTGTGGGTATTTATTTCATCGGGGATCGCACCGGTCTGAGAGATCGCACCGGGGTGCCTTTAAAATTCTAAACGAAATGATTTAATTGCATTTCCGCACCGGGGTCGGAGAGATGGCACCGGGGTGCGATAAAAAACACGAGGAAAACACATTTAAAAAAACGATCGCACCCGGCGCCAACTCTCCGACTGTTACGGTACTGTAATAGCGTTATGTCTCGTCCAACAAAAACGCGGATTGATGGACTCTGGACGAGCATGCGCACGCCTCCGTTTACGAGGGGGCTCCGCGGAATACGTTACACATCGTCGAACAGGAGCGGGTTGATGGA